TGAAATGATTGTCTTTTTTCCCTTTGTTTTACTAATGCGGCATACTATACTAATTGACTTTCTTATGTTGAGCTTCCCTTGCTTTCCTGGGATAAATCTCATGTGATAACAGTATATGATCCTTTTCAAATGCAGTTGGTGGCCAGGCAGAGTAGCTCACACTTTTAATCCCAGCACTTTAGGAGGCCAAAGCAGGCAGATCACTAGGTCAGGCGTCCAAGACCATCCTGGCTAACAGGGTGAAACCCTGTCTCTATAAAAAAAGACATAATAAAATAAAATAAAATGCTGTCAGTTTGGGTTTGCTAGTACTTTTTGAGATTTTTTTTTTTTTTTTTTTTTTTTTTTTTTGCGACAAGTCTCACTCTGCCACCAAGGCTGGAGTGCAGTGGCTCACTGCAACCTTTGCCACCTGGGTTCAGTCAGCTTTCCTGTCTTAGCCTCCCGAGTAGCTGGGATTACAGGTACCTGCCACCGTGCCTGGCTAATTTTTGTATTTTTAGTAGAGATGGGGTTTCACATCTTGGCCAGGCCAGTCTTGAACTCCTGACTTCATGAGCCACCTACCTCGGCCTCCCATAGTGCTGGGATTACAGGCATGAGCCATGGTGCCCAGCTCTTTTTGAGAATTTTTGTATCTATATTCCTAAGGGATGCTGCATTATTTATTGCAGTAAAGGCACATAACATAAAACTTATCATATTAACCATTTTCAAAAGTACAGTTTAGTAGTGTCAAACATATTCACAAAGTTGTGAAACAGATCTGCAAAACGTTTTCATCTTGCAAAACTATAACTCTATGGCTATTAAACAATTGGCCTTTTCCCTCTGTCCTCCATCCCCTGGTAAGCACCATTCAACTTTCTGCTTCTTGGAATTTGACTACTTAAGATACCTCATGTAAGTGGAATCATATAGTATTTGTCTGTCACTGGCTTATTTCAGTTAGTATAATGATCTCAAGGATCATCCATGTTGTAGCATTTGACAGGATTTCCTTTCTGTTAAGGCTGAATGATATTCCATTGTATGTACATAATATATTTTTTTATCCTTTCACCTGTTGATGGACATTTGGGTTGCTTCCACCTCTTGGCTATTGTGAATAGTGCTGCTATAAACATGGGTGTGCAAATACCTGTAATTTTCTTTTCTTGTGTCATTATCTGCCTTGGTATCAGTGTACTGGCTTCATAGAAAGACAGTGTTCCCTCAGTTCTATTTTTTGGGGAGAGTTTGAAAAAAATAGTATTAATTCTTTTTTAAATGTTTGATAGAATTCACCAGAGAAGTGATCTATTCCTGGACTTTTCTTTGTTGGAATGTTTTGATTACTGATTGAATCTCCTTACTTGTCATAGGTCTGTTCAGCTTTTCTACTCATCTAAGTTATCTAATTTGTTGACATACAATTGATCGTAGTATCCCCTTATAATTCTTTTTATTTCTGTAAGTTTGGTGGTAATATATACACTTTCATTTATGATTTAGTTATTTGTGTCTTCTCACTTTTTTGTGTGTGTAGCTAAACGTTTGCCAATTTTGTTGACCTTTTCAAATAACCAACTTTTGGTTTCACCAATTCCCTTTATGGGTTTTCTTTTCTTTCCTTTTTTTTTTTTTTTTTTTTTTTTTTTTTGAGACAGAGTTTTGCTCTTGTTACCCAGGCTGGAGTGTTATGGTGCAATCTCGGCTCACCGCAACCTCTGCCTCCTGGGTTCAGGCAATTCTCCTGCCTCAGCCTCCTGAGTAGCTGGGATTACAAGCACGCACCACCATGCCCAGCTAATTTTTTGTATTTTTAGTAGAAACGGGGTTTCACCGTGTTGACCAGGATGGTCTCGATCTCTTGACCTCGTGATCCACCCACCTCGGCCTTCCAAAGTGCTGGGATTACAGGCTGAGCCACCGCGCCCGGCCCCTTTTATGGGTTTTCTATTCATTATTTCACCTATCTCTGCTCTAATCTTTATTGTTTCCCGTCTTCTGATAGCTTTGAGTTTATTTGCTCTCCATTTTCTATTTCCTTGTGGTGTAAAGTTAGGTTGATTTGACACCTTTCTTTTTTAATATAGGCATTTATAGTTACACATTGTCTTCACTGCAATCTATAAGTTTTGATATGTTGCATTTTCATTTTCATTTGTCTCTCAAGTATTTTCTAATTTCCTTTGTGATACCCTTTTTTAACTACTGGTTGTTTAAGAATGTGTTAAGTTTCCACATATTTGTGAATTTTCCATTTTCCTTCTGTTACTAACTTCTAACATCATTTCATTGCTATCAGAGACATTTCTGACTTAATTTTTAAAACTTCATTAAAATTTATATTATGCCTTAATATATGATATATCCTGGAGAATGTTTCATGTATACTTGATAAGACTGGGTATTTTGCTGCTGTTGGGTGGAGTTCCACATGTGTCTGTGAGGTATAGCTGATTTACAGCGTTGTTCAAGCCCTCTATTTTCTTACTGGTCTTCTGTCTAAATGTTCCACTCATTTTTAAAAGTGAAGTATTAATGTTTCCAAAAAGTTTTGTAGAACTGTCTATTCCCCATTCAATTCTGTCAATATCTACTTCATATATTTTGATTCAGCATTTTCTTGGTTGCTGTAAACTTTTGACTGTTTTCCAGCATTCTGACAAAGTTATTTCAGACTTTTCCTTGTTTTTCAATGCTGCTGTGCTTGAGGGACAGGAACTTGGAGTTGCTATTCCACCATTTTGAACATGGGTCACCAAAGGTGACTTTTTGATACTAGCTTTCACTAGAACAGGAAAAACAAAAACAAAACAAAACAAAACAAAAAAACAGTCAATCTGTTCTCCAACAGGTATATTTATAGATATGAACAAGAAAGCTGAGCTTCTTCAGTAGAGGCCTTAAGCCACATTCCCTGCATCTATCTCTTCCGTTCCATGTTGGTTCTTGAGTAATCCCCGAGGAATCACAGGATTCGATGAAATTTAGTTTAAAAAGCACCATTACAAATCATTAAAGCCCCTTGATACTTATGTGTCTACTGCCAGTGATCTGACATCAGAAATAGTTAAATAATGATTTTGAAGTAGACTATCTCTTGCTTCTTTTTCTTTTTTGAGACGGAGTATAGCTTTTGTCATCTAGGCTTTAGTGCAGTGGCGTGATCTCCACACGCTGCAACGTCTACCTCCTAGGTTCAAGCGATTCTCCAGCCTCAGCCTCCCTAGCAGCTGGGATTACAGTTACCCACCACCACACCCAGCTAATTTTTCTATTTTTAGTAGACAAGGTTTTATCATGTTGGCCAGCTTGGTCTCGAACTCCTGACCTCAGATGATCCACCCACCTCAGCCTCCCAAAGTGCTGGGATTACAGGCGTGATCCACCGCTCCTGGCCTCTTTTGCTTATTTTCTAATTTACTTTTTTCAAAAAAATTTCCAACTTCTAGTTAATAAAATGCGTTTCCATTGAGAAAATTTGAAAAATATGAAAAAGCACAAAGAATGAAACTATCTGTGATCTCATCTCCAAGGATAACTGCTATCAACATGGTTACATTTGTCACACTTATAAGTCTAATTCTGGTCAATATTTTATATATAGCAATGATCACCTTAGCATCTATTTATTTATTCTAAATTAACAACTTTTTAATTCCAAGCATAGGTTTTAATTCCAAGCACAGGTTTTTTATGCTTGGAAACCTGTAATTTTATGAGATGAGAACATGTCATGTATTGCCTAACCTTTCAATCTCCATCCTCAATGACTGCCCCTCTAACACCTTCCTATAAAACAAATTAACAGGTTGATTGCTGATGATTAGCCTAATAAAATTTCAAAGTTGTAGGTTTCAACATCTTTGTCTTTTGTGCCTACTAGTTAAGCTCTGCTCTACTGAAGTTGTTTTTAAACATTTAAAAGCAGGACGCTTTGTTTTGAAATAAAATCTTGTATGAAACTCTAAAATATAAACAAAACTAAGTTTTTATGGTTGAAGTCTGTTTGTACATGTCTAAGTAAATAGCAGAAACAGTTGTAATTTTATCTGACTAGTATGTTCACAGCCAGTTCTGCTCAGCCTTCCAAATACCAAATCATTATGCAGAACCCCATGCTCTGTGATACTGTTTGAAAACTTCATTGCTCTGTTATACATCCTCAGTCAGTACTTTTAATGAATTGGTTGAAATTGCATTCTGTATCTCTTATGGCTCCTTGGACAATGTCTAACACACAGCAGGTATTAAAAAGTATTTACTGAAACTAAAGAAGGAAAATCCGTAAAGGGGGAAAGAATTGGCACATATCCATTACTAGTACTTCAAAAATTCTCAGAAAGTATCCCTACTGACAGTATAATTCAATAGTGTTAGATCTCACTGGTATTATACACTATTATGTTCTAAAACACACAATTTAACAAGTATTTTTTTTTAACCTGGATTGTGTTGCAGAATATTAAAAAAAAATTGTTTAATAAATATTTAATATCTTCCATGTTGAAGACACTATTTGAAGGGCTGTGGAGATTACAAAGATGGCAAAAATGCTGTCTCTCCTTTAAAGAACACATAATATTTGCCAGGCTCAGTGGCTCATGCCTGTAATCCCAGCAGTTTGAGAGGCTGAAGCAGGAGGATCACTTGAGGCTGGGATTTTGAGAAAAGCCTGGGCAACATAGTGAAACCCCATTTCTACAAAAATAAACATGAATAAAAAGCAAGTCTGGCATGGTGGTGTGTGCCTACAGTCCTGCCTACCGAGAAAGCTGAGGTGGGAGGATTGCTTGAGCCCAGGGGTTCAAGGTTGCCATGAACTCTGAGAGCACCACTGCACTCAAGCCTGGGTGATAGACCAATACTCTGTCTCAAAACAAATGAACAAAACTTAATACTCTAAAAGGGGAGAAAGTTTACGTAAAATTGCTAGAAAGCAAGCCAATATGCCAGACAGTATCAAGAAAATTTCAGTATTTTCTGAGTCAGAGGTAGGGAAATTTTGAAAGATGACCAGTCTAATACATAGCCCCATTAATAGGAGGCCATTACAGAATGTAGAAGCAAATAATAGGTTCTAGAGGAAGACAAAAACTATGGAAACAAACACTTCCCTCACTGCCTTGATCTTGAGAAAATAACCCTCCTCCCATGAAGAAAACATGACATAGAAAGAAGTTAGGGACAAGTTAAATGTGAGGTTTTCACAATTGGTATGTTAGAAATACCAAGAATGGAGAGATCAATGTGAACTGTAGTGAAAGAAACTTTATGAAATTGGTACTTAAATTGGGCCCCCAAGGATGAGTAGGATTTAAGAGTGATGAGAAAGCATTCCAGTTTAACAGGAACAACATGCACCAAAGCGCAGAGGCCAAGAGAACAGTTTCCATGAGGAAGATAGATGAAAGCACTCTGACTGGAGCAAAGAATGTTTGCTGGGCGCCAGGTTGGCTGAGTAGAGTGGAGCCAGATTAATAGTGGGTATAAAGGTGGAAACATCTAAAGACCAAGATGAAGATAAAAGAGAAGCTGCAACCTAGTTATAATGATAGTACAATTCTTTCTTTGTTAGAGCAGGGAGGGAACAGGATCTTGCTGTAGCTCAGGCTGAAGTGCAGTGGAACGATCGCAGTTCGTTGCAGCCTTGACCTCAAGCAATCCTTCTACTTCAGCCTCCCAAGTAGCTGGGACTACAGGGGTGTGCCACCACACCCAGCTAACTTTTCTACTTTTTGTAGAGATGGGATTTTGCTGTGTTGCTCAGGCTTGTCTCGAATACCTCGACACAAGCAATCCACCCACCTTGGCCTCCCAAAGTTGGGATTACAGGCATGAACAACAGTGCCCAGCAGATAATACAACTCTCAAACAAAGAAAACTACCAAAGGTATACAAAGGAGTAAGAACAGAAGAGAACAGGCCAGGCACGGTGGCTCAGCCTGTAATCCCAGCATTTTAGGAGACCGAGGCAGGCAGATCACCTGAGATCAGGAGTTCAAGACCAGCCTGGTCAACATGGCAAAACTCTGCCTCTACTAAAAATACATAAATTAGCCGGGCGTGGTTGCGGACATCTGTAATCCCATCTACTCAGGATGCTGAGGCAGGGAAAATCGCTTGAACTGAGTGAGGAGGTTGCAGTGAGCCAAAATAATGCCATTGCACTTCAGCCTGGATGACAGAGCAAGACTCCGTCTCAAAAAAAAAAAGAAAAAAGAGGTTGCAGTGAGCCAAGATTGAGCCACTGCATTCCAGCCTGGGCAACGACAGAGTGAGCCTCTGTCTCAGAAAAAAAAAAAAAAAGGAAGAGAACAGTAACAACAAATGAATAAAATGACCCAGAAGTTGGAGAAATAACCTGTGGTGCCAATCAACAGGGTTACTGTTTGGACAGGTACCCAATTTGAAAAGGAGGAAAAGATGAAGTTAACATGAGAAAGAATAAGATAAACACATGTATTTCCAGATGAAAATTAAAATAACCAAATTCTCTACTGTTGGATTGGTTATTCTATAAAATTAGTTTAATTCCTAGGTTGCTCATGAGGATGCTTTATTACATGGACATACTGGCTTGAGAGCTACATAAAAAACTTGCATTATCCCTTGGGTTAAAGCCAAATTAATGATCTGCCTGTTGAGAACTTACTGCACTTGAAGTTCAGAAGATCTGTAACATCTTCTTAAAAACACTTAGCTATCTTTGGCCTGTTATAGCATTTTCATATACTGCCTTCTCTGCCCCAGCCCAATCAGATTAATTGTGCTGACAGAATTATGGATGTGTTGGATCATGGTTGCATTCCAATGATTCAATCTGTAGTCCCTGGTACATAGTTTTCACTTGAACATGTGAAGTAGAAAGTTCAAGGTGACTGGACGAGTGCAGAGGTATTGCATGACTGACGGTGAACCTGGATTTCAGTACAGTACTTTTTAAAATTTAAATTGTTTTGAAAATGGCAAATGCCAACTGAGCAAAGTGGCTCATGCCTATAATCCCAGCACTTTAAGAAGTTGAGGCAGAAGGCTCATCGGAGGTTAGTAGTTCAAGACCAGCTACAACACTCTGAACTCATTTTTGTAATGTGGAATAGTCAACAATCAGTAGGGTAAAGTCGAAAATAGAATCTTTCAACTGAATTTGGTTTAAATAATCCCACCTTATTTACATTAATTACTCTTCCAAGTCTGACAGACACTCCTGACTCAAGATCAGACCATACTATCAGCATTTCCTCACAATAAGTATGAGCTTGTGTCAAAGACAAGTTTAAAAAACCATTTCAAGACTTGTTCAGTTTGTCATGCTTCTTCAACATTAATAATTACAAAAAAATTTTATCAATCCTACTTCAATACCTAGGAGTAATTGATCTTACCTTGTCAGCAAGAAGGCTTCCATCTCTGGTAGGAGCAACTGTTCACTTGCCTTTCCTAATTTTTATAAAGATTCAATGGCATTTAAGCCCAGGGTCTTCTTTGTCTACTACCATCAGACAATCTGAGTCACAGCACATTATCTAATTAATTCTCAGGTAATGGCCCCTCTCATCCCAGAATCTACAAAGCATTTTTCATTGAAGAAACAGACGGTGGCATTTTTCTTTAAAGGTTATATACTATCTTTGTCGCTAAATCTTGACAATTGATTTGGAGGCAAATGGAGCAGGGATAGGAAGCTATGGAACAGCTTTAAGAATGCTGGATTTGGAGTTAACTTTAGGTTTTATAATTTTTTTAGTAACCTTAGACAATTCACTCCTTTTGTGTCTCGTTTTCTAATTCTATAAAACGGAGTACTACCCCCTTCAAAGAGGTTTTGTGACGATTTAATGACTTTCTGTAAAAATACAATTACAGAGTCTTATCTGCATTTAGTCACCAAGAGAACCACTTATATGTCTGGGTGCGCATATTTTATGAAAAATTCAGGATTCATACTGTGACAAGAAAGAATATTTGAAACTGGACCCACCAGGTAAAATCCAGACAGTATGGGTCATTTTCTTCCTGCTAGCATTCTATTCTTGCTAAGGCTCACTCAAACTGAAATAACTTTTCATTCTCCTCTGTGGCGCAGGCTAGAGTGCAGTAGTGCGATCTCGGCTCACTGCAGCCTCCAAGTCCTGCGTTCAAGCGATTCTCCTGCCTCAGCCTTCCGAGTAGCTGGGATTCAGGCGCCCGCCACCGCGCCTGACTCATTTTTTTTTTTTTTCTTAGTAGAGACAGAGTTTCAGCATGTTGGCCAGGCTAGTCTCGAACTCCTGACCTCAGGTGATCTGGCCGCCTCGGCTTCCAAAGTGCTGGAATCACAGGCGGCGCCGCTGGGTTATTCTTAAACTCACTTCCATTGAGTACTTGCAAAATGCTCACATGCTGCTGTCCCGCCCGTTTAGAAACTCAGGCCCGTGAGCAGGACGTCCACTTCATTAGTGCTGTTTCACAAAGTCAGTGTAAAACGCTAGACACGGTACAAAATCCTCCAGAGGGGGCCTTCCTAACGCGTTAGCATAAGGATCCCTTGGGCAGTTCCAGAGAGGAGTCCATCACCGGACAGGAACCGGCCTTTCCGTGGGAGGAGAGTGTATTTCCTCCAGCGAAACCTGAATAACCAGCTTTCGGCTTGGGAGGCCGCGAGGCGGAAGTGGGCGGGCCCATCAATATAGCTTCCGGGCTCAGGCCGCGCGTGAGGCCGGTCGTCACGTAGGCCGCGGAGAGTCGGGCCGCACGCCTGCGCGCTGGGATGGGTAGGCTCAGAGGGCATTCCGGAAGCTGGGGCGCGGCGGACTGCGCGGGCGGTGGGACTCCGCTTAGTTTCCGGTGCGGCGAACACCGAAGTCCGGGAACCGAGGCATTTTCAGGTTTTAGGGTCGTTACGAAGCTGCAGGAGCGAGATGGAGGTGGACGCACCGGGTGGTGATGGTCGAGACGGTCCCCGGGAGCGGCGAGGCCAGAGCGAGGCAGGGAGGCAGAGCCTCGCTGTGCGGCCTCAGTCCGGGGCAAACGGGCTGCCTAAACACTCGTACTGGTTGGACCTCTGGCTCTTCATCCTTTTCGACGCGGTGGTATTTCTCTTCGTGTATTTTTTGCCATGGTGAGTATCTTGAATGCAGAATTGGAGTGGTAAGGATCTTAGAGAGCCCTTGCTCTGTTTTGGGCGGGGAGGAGACTGAATTGCAGAGAGTTTGTGTACGTCCAAGATGACACGGTTGGTGAGTGGCGCAGTCGGGTGCGTGGGGAGGAGGACTAGGGGCGAAATGTCCTTCCTTGGCCGGTCCATGGGAGTCTCCAAAGAAGTGTGGAGAAAACTTCGCGTCATATTTTCTCATGATTTGGAATGGAACCAGATAGGCTTGAGTTCCTGCAGCACCATGAAGCAACCGGAGAAGTTATTTTGCTTTTTGGAGTTTTATTTTTTCATCAGTCATTTGGGGCCGGTAGTCACCAGGTCATAGGGGTGTAGTGAAGATTGAGATCGTAGTGATTTGCGTGTTGCCTGGCAGTTGTAACTGCCCACAGAAAGCTATGTTTGACCATGAGCAGACCACGCAGCCGTCTCAAACTTAACATGTCCAAAACTGAACTCTTAGCAGCTTCTTACCCAGATTTACTTGCCTTTCAGTGTTCTCATTAGAGTAAAGGCCAACTTTATCCAACGTTACCTCCCAGAAACCCGAGACACTTTTGCCTTTTTATTACACACACCCACATATCCTAAAACACCAAGTCACAAAATTCTGTAGAGTTCACTTGTAAAATCCATGCTCTCCATTTTCATCGTTACTCACTCTGAAAAGACAATTCTGGCAGAGGGTAAAGGAAGGGAACTTAGAGAATAGGGCAGAGGAAGCAGATACCAAATGGAGTTAGATGGTGATAAGGAGAAGCAGTGAGATCAAAGAGGGCGCCTATGGGAGAAAAGCAGTGTAGCCCATCTAGACAGCTCTATTGGACTTTGGAATTGATTGTTCACTCACTGTAAGTTAACTCATTAGTCACGATGAGTTACTTCTGAAATTCTCACTGCTTCATAGACAAGTCACTTTTGCCCAATCCCCATCCCCCATCCCTGTATTTTCACAAAGATTTGGGAGTCTTAGGCCTCACTGTATGATTACTTGGTGTAGTAAGAGAAGACAGGACGAGGCACAGTGGCTCACGCCTGTAGTCCCAGCTACTTGGGAGGCTGAAACAGGAGGATTCCTTGAGTTGGGGAGGTCGAGGCGTCAGTGAGCTGTGAATGCGCTACTATATTCCAGTCTGGGTGACAAAGCAAAACCCTGTCTCAAAGTCGGGGGCAGGGGGCAGGGAAGGCAGAGGGATGAATGGGGAGGATGGCTAAAGGGATAGGGATTTTAATAAAATTCTCTGTCAAGCAATTTGTTTGAAAAAGGGAGTTTCACTCTCCCTCCCTATTTTGGTGGAGACTGATCTCAAATACAGTGGGGTGTGTGTGTATGTGTTTATGACCTGGGTTTTCAGCTCTGGATAGAAAATGGAGGCCTTACCTGAAATGTTCCAGGCTTTTTTTTTTAAATCAATATGTAAATCATTTAGGAATAGACAAGTGATGAAAACAAGATTTTCTGAAGTAGGCATGAAGTGTTAAACTGGGAAGATAAAGCAAATATTGCTGACAAATACTTGCTTTTTACAGACTCATTTGGTGATACCTATATTAAGAAGTTCATTCTTGAGTGAATTCTGAAAATGGCTACAAACGTCTTGAATAAAGAAGACAGGACTCTCAACAGAAGAATTCCAAATCTCCAAGGGACCCTTCCTTTCATTTTATACTTTGTTACTAATTTGCAGAACTCTATTAAATTGGTAGGATTTCATTCATTCCTCACTAAGTTGTTAAAATTAAACCCTTTGGTTCATGTTTAAAAACGTTTGAAACATCCGATGGCTTTACAGGGGCTGAATAGAAAAACATTTGTACTTAAAGGTTTTGTGGATTCATTAAGAAATATAGTAATGTCTTTCTTTTAATGTTTTAAGAGTTGTTCAGGATTTAATATGATGCAAGGAATATGGTGACTCATAAGCGAATGTTTATATGAATTCAAAAGTAAGTTATTCAAAAGCAGGGAAAGATTTTGAGAGAGGGAACAAAGTATTCATAGATTGCACAGAGGCTGTATAAAAATAAGATATACGGAAAATGTAGGCCCCTGGTGTATTTACTGGCTCTAAGTTCCAGTTTAAATTTTTAGGTTTCGTTGGACTCTATTTTGAAAAGATAGGTTATGGGCAACAGATTTATACAGTCTTAGCAAAAATAGGTAGTATGAAAGTATTGGAAAGCTAGCATGCACGCCCTCTTACCTGGGTATCTCCCCCTTTTTTCCTTTTAAACTCTTGAGCCTCCTATGTGTTTCAAACCTATTTTTTATTACTGTTAATAAATCACTTTGATTTATTTGCATTAAGTATGCTTGTGGCCAAAACATTTATTTTTATAATGTCTGTGACTTGCTTAAATACTTCAGCAAAGTCAGCATATTTACTCATTCAACAAATATTTGAGTCAGGCATTATCTTAGACACAGCAGTGAACAAAACAAAAAGGGATTCTTGACTCCATGGAACTTACGTTATATTTAAATCTAAATGCTATAAAACAAGAATTTATATTCAAGGGTTGATCAGCTAGTATTTAATCAAAAAGGCCGCAATCCCATAGCAGCTATTCTAAGCTGTAGTAACTAACAGAAAATGTTGGCTGGGTGCAGTGGCTCACACCTATAATCCCAGCACTTTGGGAGGCCAAGGGCAGTTGACCACTTGAGGTCAAGAGTTTGAGACCAGCCTGGCCAACCTGGTGAAACCCTGTCTCTACTAAAAAATACAAAAAATTAGCCAGGCCTGTTGGCACACACCTGTAGTCTCAACTACTTGGGAGGGCGAGGCATGAGAATTTCTTGAAGGTGGAAAGTGGAGGTTGCAGTGAGCCAAGATGGGGCCCTGCACTCAAATCTGGGCAAAAGAGTGAGACCCTGTCTCAAAAAATATATATTTCTCTTAGCCCTAAAGGTTTTACATGAGGAATAGTAGAAGTGGGCTCTTGAAATTACTTGCATTCAGTATATGCAAACTGTCTTAAATATTTTGGGGATATTTCCCTCCCTTTTAAACTGTAAGATATGGTAAATTCTCTGTGTATCTTCCTACCTTTCAGAAAAGTCTGGAATTGATTTTGGAGATTTTTAATTGCCTGATGCTGACTATAAAGTTAGCAATTACACCTTCAGGGTTTTTTTGCATCAACCTAAAGAGAACCATTTATGGAAGATATGGTTGAAACAGCTATAGGAACACAGAACTGGGATTTTTCACTGAGCACCAAATCGATTGTATGAACTGTTTCTGCACTGCTTGCTAATGGTTTTGTCTAATAAATGTTTACATATATAGCTGGTTTTATTGTAACAACTGGTGGTGAGATTGTGAGGTGATTAACGTGTGTGTGTGTGTGTGTGTGTGTGTGTGTGTGTCTATGTTTCTCACATAGTTTACTGTTAGGTCACACACAGACTTCCAATCATAATTCATATTATCTTTTTGAGCCTAAAATCAGCCAACTACCACAACTATCAGATATTCTGAAAATTTCTGGTATAATGAAGATGGAGAGATCTTGGTGTGAAGGTTTATTTTATATGTCATCTTGATTATCCTAGGAGATGCTCAGATTTCTGGGTTTGTCCATGAGGGTGTTTCTAGAAGAGATTAGCATTTGAATCAGTAGACAATAAAAAAGAGCCACCCACTCCACTATGGGTGGGTGTCATCCAATCCCTTCAGGTCCTGGCTGTAATAAAAAGGCAGAGGAAGGGCAATTCTCTCTCCTCTGCTTGAACTGGGACATCCATGTTCTATCCCTGGACATTGGTTCTCCTGATTCTCTGGCTCTCATACACAGACCAAGGCCCCTGGTTCTCAGACCTTTGGGTTTGGGTTAGAACTATACTATTAGCTTTTCTGGGTCTACTGTTTGCCGGCAGCAGACTGTGGGACTTCTCAGCCTCTATAATCACAAGAGCCAACCCCTCAAAATAAATGTCTTTCTATATGTCTCTCTCTCTCTCTCTCTCTTTCTCTCTCTCTCTCTCTCTATATATATATTTTTTTTCTGTTGGTTTTCTTTCTATGGAGAACCCTAACTTAGTAATATGACATGACTGTAAATGGTATTTTTAAAATGATGGCATATAAAGGTTGAATCTTTCCTACAGATGGTAAGAAATTGTACCTACCATTAAACTGTGCCATTTCAAGTAGTGACTGCTTACGTTGCCCACACTTTGAAGGCTTTTAAGAAGTAGATAAATGGGACACCAAGAAAAGTTGCAAACTTGCTAAGATAACAAGACAAAAAAAAAAAAGACATCAGAAGAAAATCAATGTGACTACTCTGATAAATTCTTCTGTAAATTTCACACAATTTCATATAAAATGAAATGATTATTTTAGTAGTTTCTTTTGAAATGAATTGGCTTATTAGCAGTTGCAAGGGATAGTTTTTAAGGGGCATAACTTGAATGTTTTAGGATGTAAAGAGCTGCAAATACTCAATCCATTAGTGGTAATGGGAGTACATTTGGAGACCAGCCTGTGAGCTAAGAATAGTTTTTACATTTTAAATTGATTGGGGGAAAAAAAGACTTTCAGGACATGAAATATATATGCAATCTGGATTTCAGTGTTGACAAAGTTTTACTGGAAAACATCCATGCCCATTCATTTACATATTGTTTATGGCTGCTTTCACACTACAGAGTTGAGTAGTTGTTAACAGATATATTATGGTCCACAAGGCCTAAATTGCTTTCTATCTTTACAGAAAATTTGCCAACTCCTTTTCTAAGGAGCTGTGCTTTAAACCTTGTTGGAGTTTAACTCTTAGGCCCTCCTGTGATAGATATGTTTTGTGATCAGAGAAATTCCAAGTACCCTTGACTTAACAGGTCCCATAATAATCCACATTAGGGGAGAGTGACACACATTTCATGAATGCAAAGAGAAGTCCAACCATATAAACTTAAAAATCAGTTTATCTTAAATTTTTTTTGAGCTAGAAATTGATTTCACATGAAAATATAACATTCTGAAGGTAAGTATTTTACAATTGTTGGCTGAATTATTTACAAAGTTATAATAAGCTTATAACCGGATGAAAACATCTGTAAAAATAAATAGGCACCCTAAATGTAAAAATTTTACATGTAATAAAATGATTAGTGTGTGTGTATATATATATATATATATATTTGTATTTGGAGCATTGACTCAACATTAAATAGTCAGTTTCTAGTTTGTGTAGCAGTACATAATGATTCAGGAGGTTTCAACTGGACAGTACTTAAAAGAGGCAAAACAACATTTCTATTTGATGTCTACAACTCTAAGTTGAAAAGACAAATCTCTGAAACTGCTGTTAAATAAAGAAATTAGTTTAAATGTTTCCAATAATACATTTCCAACTCACATCTTAACCAAATAGAAAAAAAACACACAAACTTTCTGAAAGCTATTAAAAAACTTGAAGCCCATGTTTCTAGTATTTTACAATGTTATAAAAGCAGTAATTAAAAACATTGATATATCAAATACAAGTTTACAAACTTTACATTATTTACAAACTCTCCATACTAAAAAATGATGTTAAAAATAAGCTTTCTTAAAAGATAAAATTTGGCATTCAAGTATTTCTAATGAGACTATAATTATCACTCACTATTATGGTTAAAAAAGGCTAGTAAAAACTATAGGTCGAAGATAAAATTTGCCCAAGACCTGGTAACTGGGTGAAGTTAGACTTTTGTAAGCAATTATTTTCTGTTTAACAGTATTCACATTAAATTATTTACGGAATTTTAGAATGTTTTAACAAGATTCATGGAATCAGTCAAGTTGCTAAATTTACTAGTTTATTGAATTATGAGGTTTATCCATTTAGGAATGTACAGAAAACTAGTTCTGCTTCTCAGTTATCTGGAGTAAACATAAAATCATTCTAAACCGCAATCAGTTTACCAGCATGGTACAAAATAAAATAACTAATGAAATAAGGCAAAGTAACTTATTTTTACTCATAAGTTACCATTATAATAAAAATTCATTTAATTTTCAAAGCCCTCTTCATGAAAAGTACTTGGGGTAAAATTACTATTTGTTCAGAGTAGAACAAAAGAGAAGGCTACTCTAATTAAACATTCATTAAAATTAAACTCTATATGTGAAAGGCAGAAATTTAATCTGGAAACCTAGATAGATTTTCAAATTCAAATAAAATGGGTTGACAACCTATAAGCAGGTAATATAGCAAAGAAAATGTACGCAGTTACTATGACATTCCCAATAAGAGGGGGCCCTATATTAATTCCTAACACTGGTGGTCAGCAGCCCAAAGTAAAACAAAATAAAGACCTTTCACATTTCATATAAAATTAGAAAAAAAAGTAATGAGATAAATAAATATACTAAAGTTTAAGTATTTTAACTTAAATGGCTAAAGTAATATTTATGAATACCTGTAATAGTCAAAGGCCTAATTTATCTTAACTAGATACTCTGAAAACAAAAGTTCTAGGAGCAAAATTCCATCTGATCCTGAAGATTTACAAATTGTTAATCATTAAGGCATTTTTTTCCCAAATACTATCAAATTCATAAGTCATTTTTTTAAAGACACTTAAAGGGATCATATGCAGTAGACTATCATAGAAGTCAAAAGCAAATGGGTGAAGCCCTTTTCTGGTTACCCATTAGAAAGTGCTTCTTCATAAAGCAAATAATTCTTTGACAAAAAAGTACCAAGCTATGTATCACCTAGTACTTCTCAATTAGCATAGTTTATAATAATCTCCACACATGAATACTGGTTAGTTTAATACTTGCAGGTCTACTGGTCACAAAATAAGAGGGACAAATTTAATTTTTAT